GGACAATGAGCAAAAGGATGCAAAAGTGAAGCAGTCAACGTGGCACAGTCAACCTAAACTAGCACACTTAAGCCCAGCACGGTGAAGACCACAACAGCTTGACTGAGCTGCTTCGGCTACGGCAGCGATTGGCCAATTAGGGCATGGCAGGCATCTCGGGGCAGTACTTATAAAGGAATGCATAATTGTTGCTTTGGGCATGGGACCTCAGGTCTACAGTCAGGCGCTGCGCGGAGACTGAATCATTTGTGATGAAGTCACCAAGCGAGGGGTCGTGTAAGATTGTTCGGTAGTGCCCTGCCAGCGGAGTGCTTCCCTCATGTATGAGGGTAGCGGCCCGACAGTACCTACTGTACTGCAGCTCCAGTGACGCCGTGTGATTCAGATGGTGCTTGAAGGCGGGTATCATTAGGTAGGGTTCGGGCTCTACCTCAAAGAAAACCTTAGAACCAGAGGCACTATGGGGACCTAACTGAAAGCGGCATATCTGAATCAAGATCACCGGGGGCTCAGATGGCAAGGCTTGCAGGCCGACCTGGGCCGAGCTCCACAGCTCTATGAGTGATTGCAAGGAGAAAGGCTCTTGGTGCTGGGCGGCAAGCGACTGCAGCGAGGCTGGGATCAACAAAGGCCACGTGTGGCCCTCGTCTTCATTGACTGTACCTTCAGGTCTAGACTGCCTAGCTTCCCATGAACCAAAGCGAATGCGAGGGCTGAGCAGTGGGCGCAGAAAAGTGAAGTACTCAATAACATCGTGCTGCCTTGACGGAGCTCGCCATGAGGCATGCAGGGCGAGCCAACGAATGTTCTGCCATAACGGCACAACGCCTTGCTGAGTTCGGAGCCAACGCAAAACCAGCAACAGGGAGGGCTCAAACATAGGTCCATCATCGAGTGGGCCTATGCATAGCAGCCAGCAAAGAGCTAAAACAGCAGCATTGCCATAGCAATAGTTACTAGGGTTGGCAATCCTTAAGCGCCGTACATCTCTTCGATGATCTTCTGCACCGCCACTCCCAAGGCCGAACGTCCCATCCGGTCGCTGCGCAAGGAGACTGCAGTCACTCGGCAGGCAGCGCTGTGGCTTAAACGCTGCAGATGATTCCACATCTGGTGGCACTCCGCCGTTCGGGAGCCCACTTGCAGCATAAGCGGCACCACCTCCGACTTCATCTCTTGGCACAGCTCGCGTGTCGCGTGGAAGCGCAACACCACCAATGGCTGGATGGCCAGGAGCTGCATGGCCTTGAGAGCTTCCAGGACCTGGCTGAGGGTCATAGGGTCGCGGTCCTTCTTGATCTGCAGGGAGCGGGAGCTCCGGTTCCATTCCAAGTATGGAACGTTGCACTGGTCGTCCAAGATCAGCATATCCTTGGCCTGCTTGATGGTGTCCTCGCTCGTCATAATCATTTCCATCCGCTTGAGCATGAGGTCCACCCAGTGCTTCAGCAACCATGCCCGAAGGGGCAACGTCAGGAGCTCGGGTGTCTCCTTCTTCATGGTCTTCCAGGCCTCTGCTGCCACGTAGAGCTCCGGGACCATAGAAAGCACACCTTGGCACTGAGCGAACATCACATAGTTGTCCTGGGCCCTGTTGATGCCGAACTGGTCCTCGTGTCGTTGCAGGAGCCGGCCCATGCTCAGGCACAAATTCATCAGCTCCTTGTCCCGGTCTGTGTCGGAGTTCCATTTCCGGTCCGAGCGATCGTGGCGGTCCTGGCGGTCCTGGCGGTTCGGCCACTCGCGGCTGCTCCATGACCTGTCCTGGGTCGTTCGGCGCCGGCTGGGTGCTTGGGAGCTGTGACCCCGCTGCCAACCATCGTCGGATGTCCTGGCACTTCCCTTGGCGGAGGGCCTGGGCCACTTCTCCTGGTCCCCGTTGCCCTTGCCCGCTGGGGCTGCGTTCTCCGCCGTCCGCTTGTCCCGCTGCGTCTCATGGCTTCCGGCCCGTCCGGGGCTGCTTCTGTCGCTGCACCCTCTCCCACTGGCGTGCTCGCCCTGGTGCTGGCCAGCCCGGGATCGCTCGGTGCAGATGGCTCCAGTGCCCCCGCTGAACGTTGCATCATGGTTGGCCTGTTCCTGAGCTCCCATGAGCTCCTGGGTTTCCACCTCCGCCATCTCCTTCCGAAGTGCATCCTTCATGTGGGTCTCCATGGCCTGAGGTGGGAGGTGCTTCAACGACAGTTGCAGGAGCAGAAGCGGTAGCAGTCTGTTCATAAGAGGCGCACAGTCGGAGCAGAAGACCTGCACGATACAAGATGGGACACTCCTTGGCATGTCTTGGGCGACTGCGCTTGCGCGCCTTAAAGTCAGCTCCGCAGAACTGGCAGGGCGACAGGATGGCCGTCTTACGGTCGTCGAGCCACTTTAGCACAGCAGCACGAAAGACATAAGCTTCGGCATGCTGAGACTTGACATGTCGCGACAGGTAACCTGGATGCGCAAGCCATTGGCCGCACAGCAAACAGTGGTTGAAATCTGTGCTTTTGATGTTCAGCGCCAGGCGTTTCCAATCACAAGCCAGCGCGGTGGCACACCAGTCTCTAGGCAGGCAAGGATATCGGCTGACGATCCGGTCCACAAGTAAGTTTGTAGGGTTTGTGGGCGGCATGCCTATAGAGGGTATATCTTCCGTAATGTCAATGACATTAGCAACATTGGATGTGCCGGTCGGGTTCAACAGGTGACTAGCATGTGCAGCAGGGGCTGTGACAGGATCAGGGGTCAGGTGTAGGGTCTCTTCGGGAGCTGCCTCAAGATTGGTGGAGACTAGAGGGCCCTTAGAGTGTACGGGTGGCGGTTTAGGAGCGATGGCAGGTGTTTGTGGGGAGTCAAGGCTTGTGGCCGGTCGAGAGGTGGGCGCGAGCATCTCTCCAAGATGCAGCACCGGGCATCTCGCCTTCTCAAAGTGCATGCAGAAAGATGGCCAGCTGGTGAAGACCCAAAAACAGTGCTTGCACGTGGGTAGCCCTTGCAGACAATGCTGCATAAAGTCACGTCTCATGGCTGACTGCGGTCTAGGTGATGGTTTGGGTTTGGGTTGGGGTGTAGGATTGTTCATGGGAGGTTCGGATTTGTGTTTGAGGGCAGCATGAATGCGTAAGGCTCGTTTGGTAGGGAAGTAGAATCCGCAAATGGGGCAGGGTAGGGGCTTGACCGGTGATGCAAGTGCTACCAGTCTGGTCGGCACGCGCAGGGGATGCTGATGGAGCATCTGCTTCGGGTCGCTGGCTGCAGACTGTAGATTGGATTCCAGTTGCTGCCACCAACTATGCACTAGTGGTGGTTGGAGAACAGCCATGTGACCCTCCCGGCAGCGGCTCAGGCGGCGCTGTACACGGAGGCGCAGAGTGTCTGTTGGATCCTGGATGCGCAACCGGGTGAGCAGAGCTGTAGGTTCCTCACGCGTGATGTATGACGGTGCCTTGCAAACAATCCTTAGCTGTCTAACAACATGCTTATAAAGCAGTGTCGAGCCACCCGGAGCTAAGCCCACGCTGTCCAGGCCGTGCATCAGCGTAGAGAAGACACAGCTCTGCCAGACAGAAATGCGGCTGTGCAGGGCCACGCTGTTTGAGCGAAGGGCCGGCAGGATGCGATGAAAAGAACTCCAAGACTGACGAACGCGTTCCTTGAGCGTGAGTGCCTCCATAGATTGGTAGCTGAGTATCGCTCCAAGGTATGGATGCTGAGTAACTACAGGCAAGCGGATGGTGCCATGGCGGGTGGGGCAATGTAGAAACTTGCCTTTTCTAGGATCCTTAAAGACGTGCTTTTGAAGTATCGATCCCACCTTGGACCCACGAACCCCAATCAAGACAGCCGACTTGCCAGGGCTGATAGTCATTCCAAATGCTTCCAGGGTGTCAAGCACAAAGGCGATGTGGCTAAATGCACCTTTCAGCTGATCAGTGGAGTCTACTAGCCAATGAAACAAGAAATCATCGGCGAAGACTGTGAGTCATGCATGCTCACTTGTTGCTTAATGTAGGTGAGAATAAGCCCTGTATACAACACCCACAATGAGGGAGCTAAGCAACAGCCCTGACGTATGCCGTTGTCTGTGTCCAGCATGGCTACTTGGGAGCCATGGGTGACGCGGAGGCTGGCGTGGGCATGAAGCTGCAGTATAACATGTTGAGCTGCTGGGTCTACTTTGGCAAGGTCCATGGCTTCCTGTAGCTTGGATCTCGGCATTACATCGAACGCCTGTCGGAGGTCAATGGACAAAAGAACTCCTCCTCTGCAATCGGCCGGGCGGTGTCCCTGCTTACGGAGGTGTATGTTCTGTTGCTGTGCGCGTAACACCGCCCTGACGCGAGCGCAACGCGCAGACGCCCGATCAAGTGCGTCTTGCACTGATCTTGCCTCAAGATAGGCCATCTGTGGTAAGTCGTGTACAAGCTGCCAGAGCTGGGGCTTAATGTGGTTGTTCAGTATTATGGAGAGGGCTTTCGAAATTGGGTGGACGAGGGAGATGGGTCGTAGGGCTTCTGGTCCTGTCATGGGTTTGGATGGTTTCGGGATCAAGCACAAGTCCGCCGCATGCCATTCCTCCGGTGGAGGGACACTCATGTCCGCAAACCAAGCGTTCAGCATGGGAAGATATTTGTCAGTGAGGATGTCTGATGCTAGGCACCACAGTCGTGATGGCGCGACATGAGGCGGCAGTGCCTTGTTGCAAGGCAGACTCGACAGAGCTGCTTGAAGCTGTGCCCAAGAAACCTGAAAAAGGGGGCCTGGTGCTGGTGAGGGTTGAGGGGGATGTTTATGATACAGGTCGTGGTAGTAGGTACGAATGGCAGAGACAGAGGCAATGTCAAGGGGCATACCAGTCGAGGCACGCAACTGGAGCTTACGCCTAGGCTGCTTGGGCGCAAAAAGACTGAGTACCCGAAAGATGCCTATGTATCCCTTGCAGGCCACCGCTTCTTGCAAGCGCTGGGACAGCTTCTGACGGCGGAGACGCTGGCAGTGCCGCCTGAGCACCCGCTGATGCCGCTGCAATGTGCTTAACTCCTTCCAACGTTGGATAAAATCTCGAAGTGAAATGCACGGTTGCCGCCTACCTCGTTTGACTATGTCGCGTAGGCGCCACAATTCTGTGACAGATTGGCAGCGGTGCTCAGGTGTGGCAGGCCGGCGTAGGTCTGGCAGGTGCCGGGTGGCACGTGCCCACGCAGCTTGAAACAGGCGATCCGAGTGCGCTTGCGGTTGTGCCAGTATCTCCTTCTGGATCTCAGCGCGGAAGGCTTGCTCTACTTCAGGATGTTGTTCACATATTTGTTGTACCTTGTGTCGTTGCAGTTTGGGTGTGGCACGGGAGTTTTGGGGTCGGGACGGGAAGGAAGCGGTACACTACCTAGTAAAGGCAGGTGTCTCATACCTGTGGCGGGCACAAAGGGTAAGGGCTTAGGGGCAGTCCTACGAGATTCTGGATCGGCCTGATTTCGGCGTGTCACTGCAAAGTCAATTTGGCTGTGACCCGATTGGCCTGCCGGCAAAAAGGTGCAGGAGCGGCGACCCTGTGGACCCCAGGTGTTGAGAGCGACTAAATCGTGGGTGCGTGGGATGTCTTGCATAGTGGTGGAGTCCCCTGCATGTCCAGCACTGCGTTGATAGATGCCTCTACCAACCAAAGAACCTTCAGTTTGTAAATCAACATTTAGGTCCCCTAAGAGCAAAAGCTGATTACGGATAGGCAGCGCTGCGAGAAGTGTGGACAGACGGGTCCACAGTTCAGCTCGCTTGGAGAGCACCGTTTCCCGGTGCTTCGCCTTGTCTGTGCATTGCTTGGGGAGGGACCACGCATGCTGATAGCAGACTACAATGTCTACATTGGGTTGTGAGGTGGAGGGATGTGTCTCTAAACGTACATGCAGCAGCCGGCCGGGGATGACTTCACAGTGCTGTATCTGCGCTGGTGGAAATAGAGATGTAGACACTAGAAGGAGTAAACCACCCTCGGGCCTAGTCTCACCACAATGCAGCGCGGCAAAGCGGCCGGTCACGTATTCCAGCGGGCCTCGCCAGTGCGTTTCCTGCACAGCAACTAAGCCCACTCTGCGTCCCTCGGCGGTGTCAAGCCACGTGTTGAGTTCAAGATTTCGATCCGCGGTGAGGCTACCTGCATTCCATGACGTAAAATGTATTCGATCGGTTTGGGGAGCATTAGACTGTGCAGAACTTCGGGATGGTGGGGCTCGTGGTTCAACACCAAGTTGCTGAGCACTGAGCCTCTGGCCTCTGTACATTGTACTGCCGTGTTGCGATGCCCGAGCACGGGCCCGGAGAAACGCTCTCTTACGGGCGGGTTTGGGATGCCTAGGGTTGCAAAGAAAAACACCGTTATGGTTCGCTACATTGGGGCTTGAGTGATGAGCATTACGTAGCGCTTCAGGGGGTTTCTGGTGTGAATTGCCCCCAACCCTCGTGTCTACAGGAGTCGGCATAGCAGCTACACTGCGAAGTTGTTGACAGAGCATAGTTATGCCTAGGCTTCGAAGGCTGAGGCGTGCCGAGCCCCTGTTCCTGGACTTGGGACCAGGACGGCCTCTCTGTGGGTACGGGCTCGTGGGCTTGATTGACTGTGCGAAATGAAAAACTCTACAAGAAAGCTGTACAAACAGGCTCTTCACAGCTGCAGTCTGTCGACTGCTCAAAAGAAAGGTGGCGGCTGTGCGTCTGCCTCGTCGACGAAGAAAGCGACTGCCACATCGACAGCAGCAGGTGGGTCGTAGTTTGCTGGGCCTGAGATGTCTCCCAATATCCACGCGCGTTCCGCGACGGCAGTTAGACCTCAGGTCCCCTTGATCCAGACGACCGCTCTGCAGCTGGTTGAGCACGGTGCGGGTAGTTGTGGAACCATTGCTGAAACTCCAATCGTCCATCGTCATCCAACAGTGGGAAGAGAGCCAGCAAGGTGGGGATATAGAATAAATCCAATCCCCGGATATAGTCCACCATGTAACCCGCCATGTGGTCCGCGCTTGCTGCATCCATGTGCCGGCGCAAACTTTGTCTGAGCATACGGTCCATGTGCAGGAGGCATACATGCTTCGGAGGATCCTCGAAGGAGCCCACGCTGGCCAGCCAGGCCACATCGTTCTCCGGAACTCCCTTATTCCAAAGCTCAGCCAAAGCTTGGTAAGCCGTATCCAGGCGTGCGGCTGGAACTTCATCCAACTGTATGTAGACATAGGCATACAGATCGCCTGGGTCCTGGTTGCCGCGGCTACGTCGTTGCGCTGCATATTTGGCCGTGGATACACGCTTGTTCTCGTGGTGGAAGGTGAGGTGGCCAGCCAGGAAGAAAAAGCATAGCTCTCTGAGAGCCATGACCGCATTCTTTTCCAGGAAGGATGGGTAGTCGGGGAAGGCTTCCGGTATCTGGAGGCTCGGTACTGCTGGGGACGCCATTGGTGGATGCTCAGGCATGGGCCCTGCGAAGGCGGGAGCCTCCCTGTTGTCAGTGGATCCAGTGGCACCACCCATGGAAGGATCCATAGCAGCATCGTCGTCAGTACTGACTTCAGCAGCAGTGAAGGCATCACTGTCGGTGGCGTCGTAGCTTTCATCTCTCGACGAGGAGGTGTCCGGCAGGGATCGTGGCATGCCCCGGCTCGAAAGCCCCACAAGCAGGCAGCCACTTGTCCTCAGTAAGCCTCGCCAGGAAAATGTTGTAGTGTCCCACCAGATCAGGCAGCTGTAAAGACCATGCACAGTCGCTCAGGCCCCTAAACAGAAATCAGGATTTGGGCCGAGACACTTGCTACTACTACTACTACTACTACTACTCCTGCTACTACTACTACTACTACTACTACTACTACTAGTACTACTACTACTACTACTACCACCAACACTCTTCCCCCTCCTCCTCCTGCTGCTACTGCTGCTGCTGCTGCTGCTGCCGCCGCCTAGCATTCCAAGAAGGCAAAACCTTGGAAACCGAAACTGTGAGAAGCCAGAACTGCACTTGGCAACTCCAAGCCCAAAACAAAATCTGTGGACTCTGCAGCGCGAAGTCTTTGAGCCATTGAGGAAGCTAAGATGTGCTCGAATCCCGGCATTCTCCAACACGGACCCAACTCCTAATATTTAAGAAATCCACACTTCCACACAGAGCCGTCGTTTCGATGAGCTCAGGACACCTGGGGTGTGGGGACAGCAGTCTGGTCCGACCGAGCCTGGTGTTGACCTCAGGTCAGTTACATCAGACAGAAATTCTGAAAGTGAATTTCCAGGTTTAGGGCTTCAGCTTCTTGCTATCATTCCTTTTTCCGTTCAGTCGTAGTGCTGATATTGATCGATTGTTCCTGTGCAGATGCGAGTTTCGACAGGATGGCAGGCAGTCTTCTGGAGATGTGGCCTCAATTGCTGCATGGGGGTTTCCGAAGATAGGGGACCCTCATATAGCACCCTAAGTAGTAGGATCCTTATTATAAGGACCCCAAAATAAGGTACCCTAATTTTCGGAAAGTCCCATATGGGTAAGAAGCCAACACAGGCAGCAGCATGTCGGCCATCGCTGCAAGGACTTACACTCGGCTCGGAAGCTTCACCACTGCCGCCTTCCATTTCAAAGTCCGCAGCTTGCCTGGGTTTTTGCTGGGAGTTGGGGATTAAGGGGATAGATTTCGAGGTGCCTCATTTTCTCCAGTTCCGTTTTTCATGGACCCATAAGTCTGTGGTTTTTTTAAGGGCTGCTCCCGTCATGGGGTATTCGGGAGAGTGCTTTTTGCCATACGTGAATCGCCAAAATCATCCGAACTCTCAAAGTCTGGGTCCAATATCCCAAAGCCCATCATCCCACAGGCACAGTCTGAGCACGACTTCAGAAAAGCCTGTAGCGATGACGCCTTTACATCCGCCATCCTTTGCCGACGGTACGAGATTTCAGAGAGCTCGACAAAGCTGTCGTAACCCAGAGCCGTAAGCTACCAACACCTGCAGCTAGTCAGCCAGTCCCTAGACCCTAAACCCCTAAACCCTAAACCCTAAACCCTAAACCCCTAAACCCCTAAACCCTAAACTCCTAAACCCCTAAACCCCTAAACCCTAAACCCTAAGCCAAGCCCCTGCTCCGACTCTCGACCCGTAATGTTGCACTGGTTTTGTCCGTTAGCGGTTGTCTTTGACGGTGTTTTGCTTCTTACAGTGTTTTGGGCGAAGTCTTTGATGCGTTTGAGGCCTGGCGGATTTTTCAAATTTCTTTCTCCCTTCCCATCTAGATTCACAGAACCCAAGCCCTCCCCCTTCTGGTCCCTGCCCTCGCAAACCCTTCCAATCAGTTGAGCACCCGCCATACTTATGTACCACTGTGGGGTGGCGGGGTCACAGTCACACTAGTCTCATCCCGTAATCTGTTTGGGGGCCACACACTACAGCCAGTGCAACATTAATCCTTTCTTTCCTTAACCCGGCAGTGACCCCCGAAACCCTAGTCGCAGCCCCAAAATTTAGCCTTTACCGACCTCCCGTCATCTTCTCTTTGGGAGCGGAGGCACGGCGGTCGATGCCCGCAAGGCGCGGTTTTCGCTCCGGGCGCCCGCAGCGGAGGGCGACCTGACTTCTGTGACCCTTATGATTGCACAAGTGAAGGTTCGTATCCTCATGTTCTTAGTGAAGGCAGGGACAGTAATTTGCTGTTTTTTCTCCAGAGTCCCTTTGGCTGTTGCTTTCTTTGTAGCAACTGTGTATTGGCACCATGATGCTGATCGTGTCTTCTGGTACTGTTGTTGGGACTGTTTCTGCTGCTGCTGCTGCTGTTGCCACTGCTGCTGCTGCTGCTGCGGCGGCTGCTGCTTCTGTCGTACTTGTTGTTGCCGGTGTTATCATGCCCGCTAATGCTGTCTATGCAGTTGCTGCTCGTGCTGCTACCATGAGTGTGATGATACATAGTAGTAGCCTGTTAGTATTGCTGAAAGGTGTTTTTCGTGTTGCTATTACTGTCTTGTTCTCATGCCTGCCATGTTGATTGTAACTGATAGTAATGTCGTGTGGTTTGTTAACGCCACAAGCCTTACTGCTTTGCTTATCGGTGGTGCTTCCATTAGACCTTGGTGTGTTTACCTTCCTATTGCTACTATTACTCTCCTTCTGTTCGGTGTTGCTTGAATGACCGTGATATCACTGATGTTGTCCTGATTCAGAGAATGCTGGCAACGCGATGCTAATGATGATGTTGATGATGAAAAATGAAAATCAGGCTGTCGATGATGCTGCTGCTGCCGCTGCTGCTAATGATGATGATGGTGACAATGGTTAATGATGATAGCGGTGTTGGCCATGTTGCTGCCCCTTCGTCTTGTTTCTAACTGGCATATCCAAGGTCACTGTGCAAGCTTGAACTTTATCGGCTTCAGACTTTGTGTCGCGAAAGCGTCGGAAGCTGTTCTGCTTCCCTGCAGCTTCCCTGTGCTGAGGGATGGAGGTTTACGTCCTCGGCGAGACGAAGGCTCTCGCGGGGACTTAGATCACTTGACGTTTCGGTTTATGGGCTTGTCCCCAGACGCAAGGAGTACAGAATGGTGCCGCAACACTCGGTACAAGGTTTCGAAGACTCACGGTTCCTCTTGCAGCTGTAGCAATAGTCGTGGGTGCTATCGCTGTCGTCACATCCCGGAATCGAGCGGGAGCAGGCAGTGGACGCCCCCTGGGCCTTTTCTGCTGGAGCGCCGGAGCTGGATGACAGCTGGAACGAGGTGAGACCCAGAGAATGAGTCACAATAATGATGCTAGCTACTGTTGTGATTATTGCAGGTCATATTGTCATTCTCAGTGCGAGGCCGAGTAGAGAGCATGAATATGTTGGCCAAGCGTCAGAACTGTTGGGCAAAAAAAGGGAGGAGGCAAGGCTGCTTAGGCCTGGAGCGTGGGATTTCTGTCATGTTCTGCAGCAGGAAAGGAATTTAAGGGGCTGCGCCCAGAGTCGGGCAACGCAGGCAGTTCATTCATTCATGCATTCCTTAATTCATTCAATCATTCATTCATTCATTCATTCATTCATTCATTCAATCAATCCATCAATCAATCATTCAATCAATCAATCAATCATGCAATCATTGAATCATTGTTCATTCAATCATTCATTCATTCACTCATTCATTGGGCGGGGGGCAATGAAGCCTCCCCTCCCCTTCCCCTGCCCTTCCCGCCCCGTCCCGCTTAGTGCCTCTCCTGCCGCCTCCGCGGCCAGCATCATTGCGTGCGCGGGGGAGCCACCTTTGAGGCCTTCCAGGCCAGTGCGCATCATTGCGCGCGTGCGGGCACTAATTTGAAGGCCCCTCCCGACCTCCGAAAACATCGGCGGCTGCCGGTGCCTGACGGGCCGCTGCACGCGCGCCGGGTGCTCATGATGCTCGCCGCGTGCCGCCCAAGTGTCGTGCGCGGGTGCCCCAAAACACGCCATAGCATGGGGAATGGCCGCAAAACGTGCGCTTGCCGGGTAAGCCTCCCAACCAGG